TTTGCTATTAGTACCATGATAGAATGTCACGTCGTAACTGAAAAATACCAGGTGGCAATCTTCAATTATTTGCTCACATTCAGACGAAGATGCAGAGTTCACAGTATGATCGAATGTCACATGGTGAATGAACAACTCTGTATGACTCGATTCAATTATTGGCTCACTTCAAAGCAACGATGTCGAGCTGATAGTATGATTGAAAGTTACATAACAAATAAACAGATCTAAATGACTCTGTTCAATTATTCGTATACTTTGCAGTAAATGTGGAATTTGTAGCATAATCGAATGTCGCTTGGCAGATGAACAATTCTCCACAATTCTCTTCAATTATATGCTAACTTCAAAGCGAAGGCGTGACCTTCGTAGAATGATCTCATGTTACCTGGATAGTGAACAATTCAATTGCGGCTGTATTCAATTATTTGCTTACTTCAAATAAGAATGCAGAGCCTCTGCCATGATCGAATGTCAACTAACAAATGAATAATTTTCTATGACTTCTTCAATTGTTTGCTGACCTCAGGAACAGATCGGAAGCGCCTGGAATGATTGAATGTTAGATGTCAAATGAACAGGTCTACTCTTTCTGCGCAATAGTTTGCTCAAACCAAGTTTCAATGGAAAGTCGGATTTCTCATCAACGGTGTCTACTGCAAGACATGTTGTGGCGATCAATGCTAATATAACAATAAGGTAGATAATTGTCTTCATGTGAGCCATTTATCCTATTGATTGATGGATGTTTGAAAGAGAGGCACTGGATGTTGCTGTATGAAAAAGATGTATTGTGATTTTGCTGCATCAATCGTCTCCTTTTATAGCTGTGAGACAGGGTGCACAAGAAAAGATTGTTGGCAGGCTTTTTGGAGAGACAAAAAACCTTGAGTTTACGAGAAAATAAAAAAACCTTGGAATAAGTATTGTTTATCCTACGGGTGAAGCAGATAAAAAGGAGTTTTTGCACTGACGCGCCAGTATTTGATGAAAACGGTGGAGGAAGAATGTGCTGTGTGTAGCGCTCTTGTTTGTTTACGCGAGTCGCGTACAGTCTGCTGTAAAACGAAAGAATTTTGTACGTTGCTATTTGCGGAGATTATGTCATACTCTCTGTTCAAGGTGTGTTTGCATCATTGTTATGATGAACAGAAAGAAAAGAGATGGTGAAGGTAAAGTGGTTGCTTTCCTTTCTGTTTTATTTCATAAACCAAGTATAATTGTATAGTTATAACGAACAAAAGAAAAACGAGGGAATTCAAGGCTGATCGTGAACAACAATAATAGATATGAAATGATAAATAGATCACAAGAAAAGAAGGAAGACAAAGGTAAAGTGAATGTAAATGTAGATATGCAAACTCACATTAACAATCATGATTTCCAAATCTCATGATTTTCTCACTCCTTGAAGTGTGTACGTGATATATGAACATCATAATATGTCGATATATCACGTATGCACTCTGAAGACATAATAATCAGGAAAGAAAAAATTGTAGTTTTAGTTTTTTGAATGTTCATTTGTATTTGAACTTGAATTAAGCAGTTACTCATAGTCTACTGTATATTTATTAAAAAAATGATTCTATTATTAATTATATTAATAACATCAAATAATTTATAATTGTAATATAAATAAATACAACTATAGATTTCAAAAGTAACAATTATAATCTTTGCTGTTACGTATAGTGATGAATTCTGAAATATAGTATATTGTTTTCGACACATTTATTAAATTTGAAGAGTCAAAAATAGCTCTAAGCTCGTTGTTTTCCAATGAATAATGATAATTTTGGATACTGATTCGTAAAAAACAATTTCCTTCTTTTTTTATGTACGAGACAATAACTATCGTTGAATAGACGACGAACTTGACGTTTCCGAAACTTTCATATAGATTCTCTTCTACTACATAAACTTTCATATGATTCCAGACTTCTAACATATGTTTTATTTACCAGTATTTCTGATGTATAGAATAATATGATGGAATAACAATTGTTTCATCATTTTAATTATCTTACACATACATTATTGAGCTGTTCAATAATAAAAAAAGATGAACGACACTTACTAATTTATTGACTTGATTATCCATTTTATTGTGAATGACAAGATCGATTACTTCTTTTAACTGAAGTCGGAATATGATATGTGTCATATCGTGAAATTATCGTCTTTTTTTCTTTCTTTCATCATTAAATATATCATCATAATCATCCCGTTTGCATCTCAGTTGACATGAGAGCCTATATAGGAATTATGGGAAGTATCAATGTGTCTAATCATCTGTCATTCATATCACAATACTTCATAACCTTGAACAAAATTAACATACGGAACTAACAATCATCATCATCATCGATTAATTAAATTGAAAAGTTTATTTTTTTATTTTTTTAAGATAATTTGAGATCGTTTGTTATCAAAAGTTCGATATAGTTCAACTTCTTATTTTTTTTCTAGACTAGATTTATCATCTCTAAATAGTCTCTTGAGAAAAAAGAATAAAATCTGCATATATTCATGTCATAATGCATTATTTCTCTCTGATTTATTGTTCAAATAAGTCTTAGATTTTAGAAAAACGAAGAAGAAAAAGAGAAAATCATATAATTTTCAACTTTCAATTTCATTTTTTTCTAAATAAATTATTATTCATATAATAACGTTCTATTTTTTTTGTATTCGAAACTGATTTATTTATGTCAAAAAAAGAAAAAACGTTTGTGAGCAGAAAAGAAACACACGACGCGTATATAATTATAGTAAATAAAGACTAGGCGGCAGCAGCAGCAATAGCAGCAGCAAACAAAGAAAACTTGTTTGTATATTGAAATAACTAGATTAGACTTCTTTTTTTGTTGTTGTTGTTGTTGTACTCTTTTCTCTTTCGTTTAATATACATATACATAAATAAAATTACATACAAAAAAAAAAAGAAAGAAATGTTCTAAGATTTTTTTTTGTGTAGATTTTTGTTTTGTAAAAAGCAACCGCGTAAATGAATATCCTTTTTTTCGTTTACATTATACGAGAAAAAGAAGAAAGTATATTTTAAGCAAAACAAATTGATAGAGAATCAATTGATACACACATCTGACAACATATACAAAACGATACATAAAGATTGAAGAGAATGAGAAATATGTGGAATAGTTTAGTATTTATGTTGTATTTTTTGCGTTTATAATAATAGTAGTTAATGTGCAAATATAAATGCACTTAAAGAAAATACTATGACTTTTGATTTTCACTGTCCATCTGACCTGACTAGAGAGGTCGTGAGAAAGAGAAAGAGAGTCACTGGAGATTTTTTGAGAAAACCACAAAAGTTAGGTAAAGGCTAATATAAGAACAAGAGCAAAAATATAGATATATATATATACATATATATCCAAAGTTTCAAGTGTTTTTAGATTAATAATTGAGCATAGCTTTTTTAATACAGACCACAACCACGAAGATTTAATGTGATAATAACCTAATAAATAAAAAATAATCAATTTCATTATAAATCTTTTCGATTCTTACATCCGTAACGGCATCAAATACAAATTGAACATTTTGTGTATCTGTTGCACATGTATGATGACAATAAACTTCTTTTTGTGTTGATTTATTTTTTGCAACAAATTGTGCTTGAATATATTCAGCAGCAGGATCATATTCATTTGGTCCTGTATAATCATGAAAACAAATTGTTAATGGCGAACGTTTTATTTTTTCTTCAAATAAATCTTTTTTATTTAAAAATAAAATAATGCCTGTATAGACAAACCTAAACAACAAAAAAATAATATATTTCTAAAATAAAAATAAAACTATATACTAACCATTTGTTATTACAAATACTATCAAATAGACGTAAAGATTCATGCATACGATTAGTTGATTCATCTTCATAAAGAACTTGATCATATTCAGAAAGTGCTACACAAAATATAATTGCAGTTACATCTTCAAAACAATGAATCCTATTAAATATAAAGAAAAAAGAACGAATATTATATTTGAAATTAATAATATTTTTCTAACCATTTCTTTCTTTCTGATCTTTGTCCACCCACATCAAATAATCGAAAATTAAGATTTTTAAATGAAAAATTTATTTCAACAATTCCAGTTGTTTTAACACGTGTTCTTAATATATCTTGTTCATTGGGTAGAAAATCTGATGAACCAATTCGATATAATTGATCAAGAAAATATTGAGCTGAATCATTTAATTGATATTCATTACTACGTAAAAAACATAATTGAACACCTGCATCAGCCCATAAACGTTCCATTGATGATAATAATTCATTATTAAATGGTTCGGTATCTTTCATACGTTGTATTACTTCAAGTACACGTTGAGCATCCGATTCTCTTTCGGCTGAGGCAAATTGTATATTGAGCATATTCATAGCGCGTATAATAGCGCCTAAGGATTGAATAGTATTTGAATAAACAACTGGACGATACTGTTCAAATTCTTCTTTTGTATAACCATGTTGATGAATAATACGCATTTGTTTAACAATTGTTGATTTACCTGATTCACCAGCTCCTTAAAAAATATATCGAAAAACAAATTTATTTATAAACCAAAATCTATTTATTTATCATACCGAGTAATAGAAGTTTAACATCTTTTGCAGCTCGTTCAGCATCTTCTTTTATCAACCGGTCAAGTGCTTTGCTATACTAAAAAATAGAATATAATTTTTATATTTAAACAAAACCAAAAAAAAAGAAGCATGTTTGTTATTATTATTTAAAAAAATCACTAAAATCTGATGTTATGTTAATTAATGAAGGCAAAAAAACCTATCTATCTTACTCTGAATAATCTTCTACAAGAATACAAATAAAATATTTATATATGAAAATAATTCTTAACAACAATAAAAAATAGTCAACATACTTCTTTTTGTCGTTTTTCGTCTTGACTTGTTGCACAACCCATTTTATGACAATCTTATGTTTTAATATAAATAATCATTTGCACGGTTTTTAATCAATACAATAATTATTAAGTAGAAAAGGCAAGAAATAAAGACGCCATGTTTTTTTCTCTTCGTCTCGATGTGCAAAAACAATGATTCAACATACATCTAGTGACAATGAATAAATAGTTTAAAAATATGCATTTAATATAAAAAAGAATTTTTGATTTAAATTCGGCAGAATTTTGTTTTTGAATTAAAAATATTTTCGAAATAAAATATTGAAGAAATTTTGAAATAAATATTTCATTTGTTATTTAATTAACCAATCATTATTAAGTTTTTGATTTACATATATTTTTTTTCTCCTTCTAATCTTTTTAATCGTTGAAATTTCTCATAGATTAAATGAGTTTATCAATTGAAAATTTGCTCTTGGCTATGGTCAATGAGCGACGAAGGAATAAAACAGATGAAGGTAAATTTAAAACGAAAATTATGTTGATTAATTTCGATTTTATTCCCATAGATGATGATTATGTACATATACAACAATTTAATTCTCAATGGCCTAAATTATTTCAAACATATTTTTTATCACCGTCAAGTCGTCTTTCTCAAACAACAACAAATACAACAAGTGATGATGATCTTATATTCTATGTAACACGTCATGTTGATAGTGATTTTCATCATCCATTAGTAAATTTTCTTTTGATTTCGTTTCTTTTTGAAATTTAAATTTTATATATTTTAGCATCTTGTAGAAGTTTTTCGTCATCATGATACGAAACGTCAACCGAAATTAGTAAGAAAAAAATGAAATATTTTTGTATGAAAATAATATAAAATTCATATAGGCAGCACCCGAATATGATTGGGAAGAAACAACAAATCTTAATTTAGTTCTTCATCAATTTGAATATACAGTAACAACAGCTGTATGTACTAAAACAAGTAACAAACATTTACAAATTCTTAAACGTTTATCAACTGTAAAACAAAAAAACAAATTCTTGATTAATAAATATAAATGTTTTTGTTTTATCTAGAAAGTTTATGCTAGTCCATCACGTCGTGATATGGAAAGTAAAGGAACGGAAGAGAAAATAACTTATCCAAATATTTATTTTACTGTTGACAATTTTGAAGATGTAATAAAAATTTCATATTCTATTCATAAATATTTAATTATATGAGATTGTTCTTTAGACATTTTGTGAGATGGTTGTGAATGAAGGTCAGATGGTATGTGTAGAATTAGTTGCAAAAAATCTTCGATTAAATGAACCAAAAGTTCTATTTCTTGGTTCAATTAAATATGAAGCATTAAAAAAAGTTTATGAAACTCGAGTATGTAGGAAAAATGAAACCATAAATATTTAAATAGATTGTTTTATTATTAGGCAACGACAAGTACTCGAGTTGCTCAACGTATGTCTTTAGGAATGTATACCAAACGACGAGTAGAATTTGTTCGAATGCGTGGTCCAAATGTAAGTTTACTTCAATCTAGTTACAAAAAAAAATAATTAGAGACTATAGAATATTAATAATTATCACTATTTTTGAACATAATGATCGACATATATATGTATGTAATTAAAGATAAGAATAGAAACTATTTGAATTAGGATATATGAACAGATAATCGATTGATATCAGTTAAGTGATTGTCGTATGTCAATATTGATAATTTTAAGAGATTCTTAGTGGAAAATATATATATATATATAATTTTATTTTAGGGTAAAGGTCATGCAGAAATGGCAGTAAGTCGTTGTCGAACAATACAATCTGGTATTACAACACCTGAATCTATTCCTTCAACACCAATGTCAAGTAGTTTCGATGAAGAAAGTGTATGTTAAATATATATATGTATAACAAAACTCCAATATGATATTTACTTACTGAGAGACATGTCAGCAAAGTGTATATTCGTGAGAAGTAAAATCATGGCATACTTTTCAAATATCTGTATTTATGGTCAACAAATCTAGAAAAAGTAGTTTTAAGTTCTTGTTCACGTGCTTGATTTTAATATTTGTTTTTGATTCACATGGAATATAATATGCTATTTGATTAAAGAAACGATTTGCTTTTCGCTAATATACATTTCGCTGAATTATTTTTCATTACTAATTTTATTTTGCTTATTTTCTTTTTTTTCATTGATTTGTTATCTTGCATATACAAAAATAATCTTGTTCTTTAGTGGAATAAACGTCGTGCACTTGATAATATATCAGTGAGTCGATGGATACCACCAACATCTAGACAACAACAGATAGCATCTAATGTCACAACACCTGAAGTTGAATCAACTGATATTCAACAAGGTAATATTTTATATCTAAATAAATAACAATATATATATATATATATGCATTTGATTTTAGAATTAGCTGATGATACAAGTGGTTTTCTTGGTCGTACACTTAGTCAAGCAATGAGTTGGATGCGTGGTTCAAGTTCACGTTTGAACCAACCTATGCAGCAGACACTTCCGCTTCAAACATGTCTTACATATTTAACATTACCATGTCAGTTTATTGTGAAAGATATACTTGAATCAAATCAAATGCCGATACTTACATTTTAAATAAATTAATCAAAAAACTAATTAATATTATCGTAATGAAATAAATGATTCGAATGTGAACATGTTTTTTGTTTTCCGTATTTATTTATATATTTCAATTCTTTTCTTTTATCGTTGTATGTTGTTAATGTTAGATATTTGTGCAATATTTATTTGTATTTATTCGGTCACATTTTTTGTTTTTATTTATGAAAAAACAAACAGTGATTACATATATATATATAGATATATATTTACATATTATTTTTGTTTTTTCTTCTCTATATTTTGTCTTTTTATTACCCTTGAGATAATATACATATATGTCGATACTAAAATTAGTTCATCATCCATTAAAAAATTTAATTAATCCACGATTATTTATCTATCGTCATCAATCACAAAAAATATTAGATTTAATAAATAAAAAAGCTCCAATTGAACTTGAAGTGAATGATGAATTAGAAAATCTTCCATGTGAAAATACAATTGAATGGAATAAAAAACTAAAATTTTATCGTATACGTGGTGAAGAAAAAAAAGCGTTAAAATTATTTGAAATTGGTCTACGAAAACATCAATTTCAACCGGATTATATTACTTATATTAGCATGTTAGAAATATGTAAAGATATTAAAGATACTGATAATGGACGATATATACATCGACGAATATGGAATTCACCTGTACGAGATAATAGTCGTATACAAACTCTTCTAATGGTATAAATTTTTAAACTTGGCGAAAAAAATAAATTATTGTTTATTTTATTAAGGAAATGTATATGAAAGGTGGTGATGTGGATAGTGCTCGAGAAATATTTGACTCTTTAAAACATCGAACAGTAATAGAATACAATGCATTAATGACGTACGTATTATACATACAAAAAAAATAAAAATTCATCCTGGTCTTTATATCTATAGAAAAAAGAAATGAAATATAAATATCTTTTCGAAACTCACTATTCTTCTTCAAATTTCAGAATCAAACTTCAAGATTAAATTCGACTAGTAGCAAAAATCCTATCAATTCCAAATATATAAAGACCTAATTGTTATTATATTTGTAATATTCTAAAAATATTTTTTTTATATATAGCGCTTATAATAATAATGAATATCCAGATCGTACCATAGATCTGTTCAATAAAATGCGTGAAAATGATAAAATTAAACCAAATAGTATGTCTCATATGTTATATTTTCAAGCATGTATTAAATTAAAAGCATTTGAACAAGGCAAAAAATTACATGATGAACTTAAACAAAAAACCGCAAATACTATGAAAAATAAGGTTAGTTACAAAAATAGTTCAACAGACGATTTTAGCTAAAAAAAGGAAGAATTATCTTAATTATCGAATAAATATAATAGAAAATGTTTTGACTAATATTTTTACATATGTCGAGAATCACCTGAGGTGTTATACACCATTTGGGTTGAATTATGATCGTTTAACTGACTTTTCAAGTGTTTATAGAGAATTCAATAACGGAATATTTTTTTACAACATCGTATAAAAAATCATTATGCTGATCTATGGGGTAAAGTTCAAATCTATTTGCCTACTCGATAAATACCTTCAAATTGAGTGATATGGTCATAAATGGCCTATAAAGATTCCTGGTCACGAGCTCGATCAAACTATTCTTAGTCTTATAGAGATTTAATCACGAACACCATACCAGCTCAAATGACGAGTAACATCTCGGATAGTTTTTCTGTGCGTCACAAAGATTATCAAATTTCTATCTATATTTATAAATTAATTAAGATTTATATACCTACTCAAAGCTTGAATTATTCCATACAATAAGAGGAGACAAAAATAATTACTCAAAGCCTTTAAGTTGATATATGAGTAGATATGTGTAAAACTAAGATTAAGACAATTTTTTTCGTTTATTTATATCAGTTTACCTTGGTAATGAATTAGCAATCTTTTACTTCTCAATAAAAATCTATTAAGTTATTTTTCTGATCGTCATTTATAAATAAATTCATTCTATTATAGGAACTATCAAATCAAATCGTAGCTATGTATATAGCAGCTGGTGATTATAATATAGCTGAAGAATATTTTAAAGAAATTAAAGAACCAAATGTACAAAATTATCTTGGATTAATGAATTATCATAATCAATCAAAAAATTGGAAACGTACTTTAGAATTATATGATCAGATGAAAATGCAACGAAAAATTCAACCTGATGTACCAACATATTTAGCTGTTCTATTAGCTACGAAAGAAATGAATAATATTGATAAAGTTAAACAAATTCAAGATGATATCATAAAACAAAATCTTTGGCAAAATCATTCTGAAATACAGAAATTATTAAAAGAAATTCTAAAAACATAGAATTCATAGGCAATAATAAACCCTTGTTTTTATTGTTAACAAAAGATAAAATAAAGAAATTTATCTCTTATGCATGAAGAAAAAAAACTAGGTTAATATTTGTTTTTTTTTGTAGATAATGGATTCTAGACGAACGAGTAATGATCAACGATATTTTGAATCTTATGACAACTTCCAAGTTCATGAATTAATGTTACGTGATCGTCCACGTGTAACTGCATATCATGATGCGATTATGAATAATAAACATCTATTTGAAAATAAGGTATATTATTAAATTAAGATAATATAATAAATAGTTTTTGATATTAGATTGTACTTGATGTTGGATCTGGCACGGGTATATTAAGTATGTTTGCTGCTAAAGCAGGTGCTAAACTTGTTTATGCAGTTGATGCTTGTCCGACAATATGTGGTTTAGCGAAAGAATTAATACAAAATAATGGTTTACAAGATCATATTCAAGTGATTAATAAACGTGTTGAAGACATTGAAAAATTTGATCATAATATCGATATTATCATAAGTGAATGGATGGGTAAGAATTTATGCACCTTCTATTCTTGAATTCAGCTTTTTTTTCAAACGATATTAGAAAAGTAAATCTCTCCATACATAAAGGTGATTTCGAATAGTTAGATTAGAATTTAATCTATTTAGAATTAACAAAAATAATCTCGATTGATATAGTATAACAAAAATCTTTTTATATATTTAGGTTTTTATCTCTTTCATGAAAGTATGCTTGAATCGGTAATCTATGCTCGTGATCATTTTCTCCATTCATCATTACAAAATGATGATAATACACCTGAACCCAGTGAATCAATTGTTATTTTTCCATCTCATGCTTATCTGGTTTATATATATTTTCTTTTTTTATAATAAATCTATTTTTGTTTTTGTACATCTAGTATTGTGCTCCATTTGTTGATCAACATATTCGTATTGAATTAAATACAATGTGGGATGATTATTTCGGTTTAAATATGTCTCCGATTCTTCCACATATAAAAAATTCTGATCTTAGTGAATGTGTTGTTGAAACAATTGAACCATCTCAACTTGTTCATGATTCACAATTAATACAATCTATTGATCTTCGTACCATTCGTATTGATGATCTACGGTCAATGCGTTCAATGTGTGAATTTGAAATTGATAATACATGTATTATATCAGGTTTTTGTTTTTGGTTTGATTGTTATTTTTCTTCCAATAATAATTCATCTATATTACGTTCAACACGTTTAACAACAAGTCCACATACATCACCAACTCATTGGAAACAAACACTTGTTTTCCTCCCAGAAGATATATATCCATTGAAAGGTGATATTGTGCCTGTTAATATTAAATTAAAACAATCATCAGAAAATCGACGACATTATAATTTAACAATTTCGATTAAAAAGATTAAAGAAGGTGCAAATAATAATAATATTGATGATAACGAAAATGAAGAAGAAAGTTCAACAACAACGGAATCAAATAAAAAAAAACGACGAAGAAGACGTTCATCAACAATATCATCCGATAAACGTACTGTATCAGAAAATCAACAGATGGATACAGCAAGTGATACAACAAGTAGTGAGAGTGATAATGATGGTAATGAATCAGATGAACATCCTATTCCATGTTCATGTGATCGTAATAGATGCATATTAATTAAAACAATTATTGAAAAATATGATGCAGAAAATATCGTCGAATAAAAAATGCCGATTGTTATTGTTATTGTTGTTTTTTTTTTGTTGTATGAAGATTAAATTCATACTGTTGTTTGTTATCATTTAAAGAAAAAAACCGTAGTAATATACGAAAAAAAAACTGTTCTGTTTTGTTTTTAGATAAATGGATGGCCATTCGAAACGATCACGTCATAATAAACCTTCTAAACAGTCTCGAAAGACTCGTCCAAATCCTCTTCGTCCGATAATATCTGGTGAATTATCTACACAATTTCCACATCAATCTGATACATTAACAATACGATCATCAGGTAGTGGTGATCTTGATCGATTAAATGATATTATTGATGATATAACATCGGAAGGTGATGATGTACGTGTTGCACCATCTTCATCATCATCAAAATATTCACAAAAAATTCCATCGAATTTAGTTGAACCAAATTCGCCTCCGCGGAATGATAATCATTCTTCACTTTATACATTACCACCGTCAAGTGGTTTTAATCGAGATCGATTACCATCAACAACAACAGCAACATTAAATCGATCAGGACGTACAAAGAAGTCTTCAATTCGCGATAGAAAAATTAGTCAATTTGGAGATAAAAAAACATTTTCTCCAAGTCGTACAAATAGTTTTGATGATAGAATTGATACAACTAGTCGACGAAAATCAATTGGTGATGTACGTCGACAACAATTAACTGAAGTTATGGAATATTATCGAGATTGTCTTGAATCAGCTCAAAATTCCAATGCAGTAGGTATGAATGATGATCCAACAAATAATGAAAAACGAAAACAATATACAACAACACTTTGGTAAAGAAAGAAATCTTTTTTTTCTTCTTCTATTTTACATTTATATATTTATGAATAGGTATGAATTAAAAAGATATTTTAATGGAATAAATCCATCCGATGAAAATGGAATTGAATTAGAACAACGTTCTATTGAACATCAACGAAAACAATATCTTGATGAATTCTATTATCAATTTAGTCAATGTAATTTTGAACAATCACATTGTCATTGTGATGATACACCTATTCAACGTCGACATTTAAGTGATATTCATTTAAATTATTGTTATGAAACTGATAAAACAATAGAAAATTTATTTATAAAATGGGATCAAATTTTATCATTATTTCCATCTTATGCGGCATTAGAACAATATGATAAACGTTTTGATTCACGTACAAAAGAAGGACGAATGTTTTATGAAAGATTATCTGTCTTTCAAGCATGGTTTAATTTAAATTCCGAAATAAATCGTTTAATTTCTGTACTTGGACGTATTATGGGATGCACACAATCTCATTCATGGCCACATGTATCATGTTCATCAATACCTAAACTTAATGATAATGCAACAATAAATGCATCACGTCCACCAACACCTTCATCAACATCAAGTAATGAACAAAAAGATACATTAGTTGGTTCACCATCAAGTTCATTTTCGTATTTACTTACACAAACACCATTAAAACAACAATTTTCTAGTATATCAAATTCTTCACGTATGTCAACATCATCATCTTTTTCAACAACACCAGATATAACTACTAAACGACAACATACAATGACTTCAATGCCTAGTATGGATAATATCCATCAATTATTAACATCAACATCACCATTAACAGAATATTATTATAGGTAAAATACGAGACTTAGAAAAAGCACTTTTAAGGCTACGCCCACTCAGAATTCTCATTTCGCCCACCCGAAAAAGGAAACCTGGGTAAAATACTGCATGTATATCCTTACCTTGATCTATATTTTGAAGATATGTAAAAATAGAAGACTTTCTATTAATATTCTTAGATATATTGATGATCAATTAACTCATGCTCGACTTGAATTAATAGCAAGTATATTTCGTTCGAAACATGGTCCATTATTACAACGTTTACGATATATATTTCGAAAAGAACAAGCAACAGGTGGAAATCTTTCAACAACATCATTTGATTCTTTTTATAAAAATCATCCATTATTACCAGCTAATATGATCACAACTGATTATTTAGTTGATGCGAAACCGGATAAATTAGTTGATGAATTTTTAATATTAAATAAACAATTACAACAATTAAAAAATCCAAATCTTGGTAAATTATTTTTATTCATATAATTTAAATCATATTTATCTATTTTTTTCTTTATTAGCAAATAAAAAGAAAAAAAAGACAAGAGAAACATATCCTGATCAAGTTACAAATATTCTTAATCGTTTTGATCAAAATCCAACATTAACATCAAGTACATTTCCACCCGCATCTGCTCCAACATTAGTTCTAAAAATTTTATCACATGATCGAAGTATAATTAAACGACAATCCTATTTTCTTGATTATCTTGATCCAACATTATTTCCACATTTACCTGGTTCAACTTTATTTCCTGATCCATGTATATTTCTTGATAATCAATCATTTAATTCATTATCACAATTAACACCAGAAGAAAGCATGTTAATTGCTAAAATGTTAGCTATATGTTATCGTCTCTATGATAAACATGTTTGGACTGATAGTGGAAGATTTTCTGATATGTTTGAATTATTTCATTTACCATCACTTTATCCACAATATGTTTTCCTTGTTCAAATTCCATTAGATTTAATGCTTGCTTGGCAAAAATATCATCAAGATAGAAAAATGGATCATACATCAACTACAGGTAAAGTATTTAAATTAATTGTTAGACATTTTGGGTAACTACTTCAACTTACATTTGTTTTTACTTTCTATTATGTTATCCTAAACTTTGGTTCCCTTCCTAGAACCGCCGTGATATGCTACCGAACTTTTTAAAGTTCCGCGACAGCTGCGAAACCTTTGTTACGAACCCATAAAGATTTAGCATCAACCCACCAAGGTTTCGCAGCTTTCGCGAAGCTTTAAAAAGTTTGGTAGTATATTAAAAGTACCATAGTTTTATTGATATTGACTTCGACAAAAAAATGCTAACTTCTATCGGATAAAATATTAAAATTCGATTAGAGATTTTTAGATGCTGATATGTATAATAAGAATGAGAATCTTTTCTTTTCCCCATGATTTTAAAAACAATTTGAAGTAAAATTATTATATATTTTCTAGGTGCTCTACTCTTATTAATTGATGAATGCAAAATCTTAATTCATAGTGCTACATTGATTCGTCAATACATCAAAGTAATGATTACCGATGTCTTCGGTAAGTTCTTAGTCAAATTTTCTGTTTCTCTAAAAATTCAATTAAATTTAATTTTAGAACAATCTGAAGTAAGATTAATCGAAGATGAATTAACACAATTTGATAAAAATATTATTGATACATTACATGAAATGATAACTTACATTGAACGTTATATAGAAATATCATTACGTTCAAATTTATTTCATAATTGTATTATTTTACTTAAAGAACAATGGAAATCATTAAAAACATACTCAACAATGATGAATATTGAAGAATATCTTGGTGAAAAATTTTTAAATATGTATTCAAGTATAATAAATCATTTTCATGATTATATTGATGTATTTCATTCAACAACATCAACATCAGATACAATTAAAATTGAACATATTAAAAAGAAAATGCATAAAAAATATCAAAAAAAATTAACTATGGATATTTTACGTGAAGCAAAAGCTATTTATGATGATTGTGCATTAACAATTAATATTTATTTACAAAAATCTGTTTGTCGAAGATTTTTACTTATACTTAAAACAGCTGGATTTGAAAGAATTAAATTTGGTATGAAGATTTTGACAAACATATTTCATATAATTTTCTTTATTTTTTTTCTAGCTAAAGAAGATCATCATAAACAAATTAAAACTAATAAAGATGCATCACGAACATCTCAATGTCTTCTCTTTGCGCCTGCTGAATATTTTGAAGATAATACAACAAAAATTCAATTAACTCGAACATTATCGTCATCTTTTCGGATAAATACAAATAGTAATACGTCAAATGAAACAACTGACGAACCAAATTCACAAGCACAACAACAATCACCAACTTCGTTTCAACAACCAGCGAATGCATCAACTGAAATATCACCGACACCATTAGTTTATGTACTTTGTGTTCCAATATCAACTGAACTTGAATGTGAATGGCGTGGTGTCACCCATACAATATCAACAAATAAAGTATCAACATCAGTTTTACCATTAAATACAAATTGGAAAACGACAACAATATTTTTATTAACACAACAAACAAATAATCTTGATAAATTTGAAGATTCATTTAAAGAACGTTTATCAAAAACAAATGTTCAACAAAATGATTTATATAATTTCGATACAAAATCCGGACAAACATTACAAAAACGTTCATGTTTTGAAAAAGTTGATCGTGCTATGAGTGATTTAGCTCATGCAATATTAAGTTTAAGTAATTGTATTGCAAATAATGTTGAACAATTTGAAAATATTATTGAGAAAATGCTTGTTAATCAAAACTCTTCTACAAATGATACAGAACGACCAGAGAAAATTAATATTCGAACCTATGTCGTAAGTATCTTTTTTAGAAATCTAATTATCAAGATGCCTTCGAATTCACGTACATTTTTTCGTCTTACAAATAATCTAAGAGATATCTATTCCAGAACGGTAGAGAAATATCAATGTAAAAATATACACAAAAATATTGAATCTAGAAGGAGATTATAGTGAATTCTTGAATGTGTATCGTATTTAAGATTAGTTGAATAAGATCTCTTCACTCGTGGCAAGGTATTACTTGTTTTATCTTTCTGCAACAGACATAGACGATTTGTCTAATATTGACTTGATAGAGAATATCTCTAATTTACAAAACGTTTTAATTCAATAAGATTTTCTTTATTTAGCATACTGAAGAACGTGCATTTGCATTTGCTATGGATATTATACGAGAAACAAGTTATTATACAACACAATTAGAAAATAATACATTAAAAAATCAAGCTGAACGACAATTATCATTTGCTAATAGTTGGTTAAATTTTGTTCGAAAGAAAAAATCGACTACAAATACATTAAAATATCCAACAACATTACCAATGTGGTTATTACCTGGTATACATTTTCTTCGACATATATGTTCATTACAATTTACAAATCATATCGATGATGAAATCTTCGAAAAATTTTATGAAAATATGCAACAAACTATTTATTACTTACATAATCCAAATAATAATAATGGACAAAAACAAATTAATATTCGTTCAAAAAAAGTATTCAAACCATATCAAAATTTGTCCGCAACAAAACATGGTTATGATCAAAAAAAACGAAAAAATCTTCGCTTAACCAGAATTCAACAACTTGAACGTATGGATAAAATTATTGATCGACGACGTTATAAAGATGATCTTATTGGAAAAATTAAACAACATGAAAAACAAATTCCAATGCCATCAATATCAAAACGAATGGAACAAGATTTAGCATATTTAAAAATACGACATTTTCATAAATTAAATCTTCTTTCACGTGGACAATTTGCGACAAGTAAGTTTATCAGACATAAACATACAAAGGGAATGAAATATTAGAACTAAAATAATATCTTTGATGAATTATTTATTTGGCAAATAGTAGAAAAGAGGGGGAAGATAAATTAATTTAAATATTAATAAAGTGTAATAATAAAAACCTTATTAAAATATCGATGGGAAAAGTCCACTGAATTTTCTTCAATTGACTATCGAGATTTAGAAAAAAAAGGAATGAAGCAAAATTCTTGATCTAAACGATAAAAATCGGTCGGTTCAGTTTCACGCATGCCTTGAAAAAGCGAAAGCTCAGACTTGGAAGTTTAATGATGATTATAAATTTGTCAGGCAACAACGTTTAGGTTCGCGTCTGTTGATCGCTGAAGTCATGAAAATTAATAAAAACCAATTTTCGAAATTGCATTCTTCAGTTAGAATATTCGATTTTATTATTGAGCTGACAAATACTTTCTATATCTTTTTCTTATAGAAAAATTATGTTATGACTTCTATTATATTATTTACACGTATGCTATCTCTAAGTTCTATATAACTAATATTCCTGCTAATAATTTTATGTTTTATCCCATCCTATATTTTACAGCAAGACACAAAATCTTTCGTATGAAATAAATATTATAAAAATAATTCTATTTTAGCATATAAATGTACGGTTGAACCAAATGAAGTTCTTTGTTATAAACAATATAAAATTCAACATAATGATGCAGCAGCTATTTCGAAAGTTCTCGAACAATTAGTACCACTTATGCATATAAATCATGAAAATTTAATTAAATATCGTGGCATAGCTCTTGAATATGATCATATCTTATTCTTTATGGAATATTGTAGTCATGGTACAATAGCACAACTATTACTCGGTACATCTCCATCATTATCATCATCAACATCATCAGCAACTCATAAAGATGGACGTCGTCCATCAACATCACTTGTATGTTCATTAAATGATACATCATCTGTTGATAAAGGTATTATACAAACAACAGCAGGTTTTGCTTTTTTTGAAGAATCTCTTGTTCAACGTTATTTACGACAATTATTATCAGCATTATCATGTTTACATGAAAAAGAAATAATACATCGTGATATACGTAATGTTAATATATTTTTAAAAGATTCAACTAAACAATCAATAAAATTAGGTGATGTTAATTTTGTTTATGATTTTAAATTTATGAAAAAACAATCATCACTACTCGACATGGAAGTTATTGCAAATATACGCGAATCAATTGTTTTTTATGCACCGGAAACTATAACACAAAATGAAACAACAATTAAATCTGATATATGGTCATTAGGTTGTACACTTGTTCATATGTTAACAGGTCGTATACCATGGAGTAATCCATCAACAGCTTCGAGTGCTTACTACTGGAAAGTTATTAATTGGGTTGCTAATGGTGTACAACCAACAATTCCAACTGATTTAAGTTTATCACTAGAATGTATTAATTTTCTTGAGCAATGCTTTCGACATGATCCTAATTTACGACCATCATCCGCTGAACTACTTGAACATCCATTTGTTCGAGAATATTAAAAAAGTGATTTTTTTTTAATCTGTAAATAAATCGATTTCTTTTTTGTTTCGAATTGGTAATAAAAGAAAAAACGGGAGAATTTTTTTTCATGATTCAATACTTTATTCAAATAGTAATCGAAAATTCTATATAGTATTATTAGGTGTTGAGTACTAATACTTGAGACTTCTATTTGATATTAAAACATTTTTTTTGTATGTATTTCGATTAAAACTCGTTTTCTACTTAGTAATATAATAAGTTCATTGTCTGTCTTATATACAATTTTGTAAGTTAATGAATATTAATTAAAAGAAAAGATCATTTTCTCTAAATATGAATGAGAAAATGTCATGGTAATCTCTATTACGATTAAAAATCTTCGATATATTTTTGTTTTCATTGAGAAAAGAACTAAATCACGGTTGAAAACATTTCTAAGTTTTTCATACTGCTTCAATACGATACAGATCAACTTAAGAAAAGCTCTTATTTATAAGTATATAAAATTTTCGTACCGATTCTTCTGGAAAAATTCATTTACGCAGTAATAATAAACGCGCTTTTTTTTAATTATATAAAACATTTTACAATCACTATATTATATTACTTTCTCAAAACGAACATAGAATTACAAAATTGTACCTATAATTGACATACACTAATTTACAATCATCGTTGTACTGATTGACAGTAATTCATCATGACATAGAAAATTTACTGCTTCATATTTTAACGCCTAGAATGATAACAATCCGTTTCACTTCATCAAAGTTATTTTTTTACAAATAAATAAATATATAGATATACATATCAATTTTTTAAAAAAAACATTTACAGTTATTATTCATGGTATATTATATATATTGTTTTTTTTACACAAAACACATGTTAAATAGATTCAAATTCTTTTTGCCATTTTGTATATTTATCTTTAAATGCTCGTGCTGATGGTTTGGTTGTTGATAAAACTTTTTCAACATCAGCTGTTGTTATTGAATCTAATTCAATACATGTTCCTAATTCTTCATCTAGAAATAATATTATTTCATTTAAGATTTAAGATTAAAAAGACAAATATTTTTATACCTCCATTAAGTGTTTCAAGTATATCAAATACTTTTCTTAACGGATTCATTGCTGCTTCTTTACATACAAGTTTAATATCCGCACCTGAATAACCTTCCGTATGCTAGAATAGAAAATTGTATTTTTTTTGAATCAATATTGAATATACAAACACTGCTCAATCGTATATAATCAAGATCAGAATTTAGAATAAGACCATTATTTTCACGAATAACCGTTGGTGGTAAAAATTGTTCAAACATAGCTTGTCGAGCTTCTTTTGATGGTAAATCAACTAAGACACGTTTTTCTAAGCGTCTTAACATAGCATGATCTAGTTCCCTAAAAATTTTATTTCGACGTAAGTAATTATGTTCAAAAAAACATCTAATCAAACCAAGGTAAATTTGATGCAGCAAGAAGAAAAACAAGATCATCAGTTTTAGCTAATCCATCAAGTTGAACAAGTAATTCCGTTTTCATTCTTCGACTACCTTCATGTTCACTAATTAAATAAAAAAAAATGTTTTTTTTTGTTTCGAATGAATCATAGTCTGTTTTTTTCTTTACATACGATCCAGAATTACCTCCACTACCACGTTGACTCATTATTGCATCGAGTTCATCCAAGAAAATTGTTGATGGAGCATGAAATCTTGCTAATTCAAATAAAACGCGTACGAGCTTTTCTGAATCACCACGCCATTTACTAACAATAGACGATGCGGATATATTAAAAAAAGTTGTTTTACATTCAGTTGCTACGGCTTTAGCTAACAATGTTTTTCCTGTACCAGGTGGACCGTATAAAAGTAAAGCTTTCCATGGAGATAATATACCAGTAAATAATTGTGGATACTAATGAAAAATAAAACATTAGATTTTTTTTCTTTTTTTTTTTTGATATTTTATTTATACTCTTATTGGATAAACAACTGCTTCTTTTATCGTACGTTTAGCTGAATCAAGACCAATTATAGAATCCCAACGTACACTTGGATCATGAAGATAGATATCCTTGAAAAAAAAATTACGTTCTTTTTTTTTCTTTAAAGATTAAATATTAGTATGAAAAAATTTGCTATTATATTCTATTTTTTTTTAATATAGAGTTGTTTTTTTATGATCGATTTTCATTCGTCCATCTGCTTATACATTTGAAGCAGAGCATTGAGTTTATTCCATAGCATTTCTCTTGGGAAAATTCCTTTTCAACCTCAATGGTAACGCGCACACACACACTTCTTTCATTTTTTTGTTTCTCTAATTACATCCCCTTGAGTTGTAAATAATCAAAAACGAAACATGCTCAAAATTCTAAAGATTCTACTCTAATTACATGTAACAGTTCTTATTCTATTTTTTGCTTTTTATCTTTACAATTAATAAATCAAATATTAGCGTCATCCTTCATTGCACTTCGTATAGAAGCACAAAAAAAAATGTTTGCGTGTAAATGTGAACAACTAACAAAAAAAAATATAAAAATGCCTCTTGGTTTTCTTTCTTTTATATATACGTCATTTTCCTCTGAATGTAGCAGGTGAAGAAGAAGAAGAAGAAGAAGAACGAGCAGAAAGAAAAAAAAGGAAAAGAAAAAAAAACTGACAAATACGCTCGTTCGTTGGATGTAAACGAACATAAAGAAGAAGAAAAAAAAACGAGAGAAAGAGAAAAACGAGAGAAAAAAATAGACATCCAATTCGGGGGTAACATTCATTCATTCATTCTGTTCTCCTTTTCCTTTCTCGTCCGTCGAAAGCGCACACATCCCAACCAACTCGACGCGGCATGTTTGCCCATTAGTTTACGTTCTTGTATATTATACGACAACAACAACAACAACAATAACAACCGCAAAATCATCAGAAAAAAAGAAAACAGAAAGAAAAGAAGTAAGCAAGCAGCATGCGTTTAGTTATCAAGATTTTCATCATTCCTGTCGAAACATATGTCGATCAATTTATTAGATGAAGAAAAAACGAGGGGGGAGGAGGGACGAATGAATTATCTAAATAAATAAAAACAAAAGAAAAATGAATCAATCTTTTATTTGACAGATATAATGATACATTTGTGTTTTTTTTTGTTTTTATATATAGATTCTAGTTTAAAAAATGACAAGTAAACGTGATATATTTGTTAAAACAATAGCAACACGTCGGAGCGTATATTCTCAAGATCGTCTTGAACAAATTTTAAGCGAATCAATTCAAGCAAAAGAAAAAGAACCGGGTGATCGTACGGCAAAAGATTATCGTCGTATAAAACGTTTTGATATCGTTGATGTTCAAGGAAAACAACGTCTTGTTGCAGCACGTACAGATAATGATGATAAAGATATTCGATTCTTTGTATCCATTGAAGAAATGTATGATATTATTGATTATACACATAAAAAAATGAATCATGGTGGTCGAGATCGTTTATGGCCTATTTTATCCAAGCAATACGCAAATATTCCACGTGAAGTTATTCAAACATATTTAAAAATGTGTGATTACTGTTGTAAAAGACGTAAACGTGTTAATACAGATACTAGTAATGAAAATGGAATAAATAATTTACATAATGAAACAAATGATTTAATGGATACAAGTTTAACAAATATTATTCATGATATTCCAACATTACAACAACAAACAAATATTATTAAACATGAACAACAACATATTATTACACAATCATCACCAATTATTTTACATAATAATACAAATCCTAGTCTTAATCAACAACAACCGGTTGAAAATATTTATGATGGAAGTAAGATATTAGAAAATATTCAAATTTATTCTTATAATAATCATTTTGTTTTATTTTAGCAAATACACATGTAATGAATCGTTTATGTGAATATGATTTAATTGATTTACAAAATGCACATGATGGTGATCATGGTTTTGTTCTTGTATATCAAGATTATTTGACAAAATTTACTCAATTACGTCCATTGAAAAGTAAATCACCTGTTGAATTAGGTACAACATTAATGGATATATTCTGTATATTTGGTCCACCACTTGTATTACAATCCAGTGCTGATCTTCATATTGAAAATTCAGCTATACAACAAACACTTGAAGCTGTATGGCCTGGTAAATTAATAATCTTGTTTTTTTTCGGAGATGAATTTAATTATTTTTTTCTTTTTTGTTTCAAGGTATTCGTCTCTATCAAGATGATTCACCACAATGGCGTGAAACAGCAAAACTACGTAATGAACAAATACGATCTATGATTGCAGCATGGATGTTTGTTAATAATAATCCACGTTGGTCATATGGATTAAAATTTGTTCAATTGACATTAAATTCAAATATAAATAATGAATTAAAACGTTCACCCTATGAAGCTTTATTTAAAATGTTACCAGTTTTAAGACCAGCAACAGTTACATTATCATCTTCAACTACAGATATGTCATTACAACAACAACAACCACAACAGCAACAACAATTACAAATTCAACAACAACAACAACAACAACATCATCATCATTCCCAATTACTTCAACCAACAGCAGCAGTTGTTCCACCATCATCACATTCCCCATCGGGTAGTGCTAATGATGGTGATTTTGTTACACCAAATGTTAATATTCTCCCATCGTCAATCTCGACATCAGATCGGATTAAAGCCGAATTGTAAAAAGTCAAGACATTATGTATAAAGAAAAGAGAGAGAGAGAGAGTGAGTGAGAGAGAGAGAAAGAAAATATTTCATTATTATTATTATTATTTTTGTTTTTGTTGTTATTTTTTTCTTCTTTATGTTGTCTCAAAGAGTTTAAAAGAATGATGATGAGAACGACGAAACAAAAGAAAAAGAAAAATATTCGGTATATCTATATTTTTATTTTCTTGCGCAATCTTTTGTGGTTTTTCCTTTCTTACGCAGTGGTGTTTTCTTATATTTCATGTACGCGGTATGTATGTATAAAAAACTTCGCCGTTTTTTTTTTTCTCTTTTTTTGTTTTGTTATTATTATTTTTTTTTTGTTTGTTTCGTACTTGTAATTATACTATTTGAGTGGACAGAGAAAAATGATGAGTACGAGAGAAATGTGATGAAATATGAGACAAAGATGAAAAAGGAAAGTTTTTATAAAAAAAAAAATAAAAAGAAAAGAGTAATTAAATATTAATTTTCTCTTCTTTTTTTGTTATTTACCCGACTGATTACTTCAGCCAATTCACGCCATTCAGATGTATAACCAGTATAACCACCTAATGGTTTTAACAGACGATCCTAGATGAATAGAAAAATGTATGATTATGTTGTTATTGTGGTTGTCTAAGGATATTTACAGATGGATCAGTATTGTCTGCAGGATGTGCACGTAGTGTATCATTAAGGCCAGACTAGAAAATAAAACAATGAATTTTTTCTGTATAGTCTCTTATGATTAAACAATTGTCTTTTATTCACATTGGTATTATCATGACAGCTATTTAAGTGTTAAAGTTTATAATTATTTCCTTGACAAATGCTTAAAAATTTAATATTTTGTTTTTTTGCTAATTCCTTATGAAAGGAAAAATGGCCTTGCCAGAAAGAAGAAGAAGAATAAAAAAAAGAAGCTATTATTAATCTATATGACGGAAGTAAGTGGGTACTCTCTTCCTTTACTGTTAAATTTTTAAGACAGGAAAGAAATATGGAGTAGTTTCTATATTACTCCCACTTGCATACAAATGTTTAAAATATTATATTCGAAGCTAAAATAAAAGAATTACCTTTTTCTTTTGTTGTTCACTGGATGGTGGTGCTGATTTAACTGATGAAACTTTCATAAATGAAATATTCATATCTTCTAATGAATTAGTTCCTGGTTGTTGCTATGAATCAAAATTTATTTTCGATTATTTTCTTTTAAAAATATAGACTTACTGTAGAACTTTGTCGTTGTACACCTACAGGAGGTGGTACATGGGCATTTATTCTTTCTATATTTGGTTGATTAGATTTACCAGTAGTTGGTAGACGATGAAGTGCTTCACCAGCTGATGGTAGACGACTAGACGAACTCGCAACATTTTCTGTACCATTACTAGTTACACGAGGTAATGGCGGTACATGAGCACGACGATTAGAAGCCGGAGCACTATAAAGAATTTTAATTTACAAAAGATACTGATAGAAAAATAGTTCACCTAGTCATCTTTGCCGATATTTTACTCATAAATGCTGCTGCTAAAATACAGATAAATATTTTATTTTTCCTATATCTGTAATATTATCCATGATGAATTTTGATATGTACTCTCGTAATACAAATATGTATACTTGTCTTTCCTGTGTTTGTCAATAAATCTTACTCATTTCCTCAAGTAAAACTAATTAACTTACTCGATGGTCCATTTTTCTTCGTTATTTTTGGATATCGATTGTATTTAACATGAAAATATGATCTATTTAATAAAACAAAAGAGATGATTTGTTTTTGATTTTTCTTTTAAACTAACTCATATTCTTGAAGAATTGTAGTAAGATCAACATTATCACAAACATCAAATTTATTAACATCAAGATTTGTTTCATGTCCTAATTGTTTCGCAGATTCAATATAACTTTAAACAAAGAAAACAAAGTAAAATTTAATAAATAATAAATAAATTAAACAGAATACCCTTCATCAGCAAGCCAATGAAGAATAAGAATAATTAAATTTTTCTTTCGATTTTCATTTCTTTGATCATCCTAAATAATAATTTATTATTATATTATTATTCTTTTCTATTATTTAAACTCATACAGCTTCACGTGCAGCATGTGTTGTTTTAATTGTTTGATAATTAAGATTTGCTTCAGCCATTCAATATCTCTTTTATTTGCCTAAATATTTTCGTATTATTATCACCTCGAAATAGAAGTCATTAACGATACACCATGGTTAACCGTTGCTTAGTAATAGGCATGTTTCTTTTCGATAGATGTCATTAGTAGTAATTTGTTTTATTTGTATGTATATATATGGCAACATATTCATCCATTTGGGTCAAATTTGGATTCCATAGGAACTGTTATTACATTCTTTCTTTTTTTTTTCTTTTACTCTAGAGAATTCATTCGAATAAACATCAACAAAAATGCGTGGTGATTTAAATGTAAGAAATATTAATTAATTAATTGGATCTATTAATATTCTGGAATTTTTTAATTTTAGACAGCACTTAATCCAATTCCACTTTATAAACAAGGTGTTGAAGAAGAAAAATCTGAACTTGCTCGATTAGTTAGTAGAAAAAATTTAGTAGTAAATATATGTAAAACCATATTTTATAATTTTAGTCATGCTTTGCTGGAGCAATGGCTGTTGGTGATCTTATTAAAACAACACTTGGTCCAAAGGGCATGGTATAGATTTTGTTTACCTTGTTGATTTTTTTAAAATTATTTCTATTAGGATAAAATCCTTCAATGTAGTATGAGTGGTGGACCTGATGCTGGTAAATTATTAGTCACCAATGATGGTGCAACCATATTATCAAAAATTGGTATTGATAATCCAGTAGCTAAAGTTCTTGTTGGTATGTTTTTGTATTATTTATTAGAATTATTTATTTAATAAAAAAATAAAAAATAGATATTTCAAAAGTACAAGATGATGAAGTTGGCGATGGTACAACATCAGTTGTTGTTTTAGCTAGTGAACTTCTTCGAGTATGTTTATGTTTATTTTATGATTTTGTTTTTATTTTAAAATTATAATAGGAAACGGAAAATTTATTAGCACAAAAAATTCATCCTCAAACAGTTATTGCCGGATGGCGTAAAGCAACCGATGAAGCATTACGTGTTTTAGAAGGAATCGCAAAAAATAATAGGTATAAATGAAGAAACCAAAAAAAATGTGAAATCTATTTTTTTTTTCGTTTTTTAGTGCAAATCCAGAACAATTCAGAAAGGATCTTATGAATATTGCTCGTACAACACTTAGTTCAAAAATTTTACAAGGAAAAAAAGATTACTTTGCAAAATTATGTGTTGATGCTGTATTAAAATTACATGTGGGTTTAACCAAATTTGTTTTTTTGAAAAAATTAAATATTTATTTTTTTTTAGGGTAAAACTGATTTACAAGGTATTCAAATAATCAAACGTTTAGGAAATAATATGAGTGATTCATATCTTGAAGAAGGTTTTCTTTTGGAAAAACGTATTGGTATTAACATGCCAAAACGTTTAGAAAATGCACGTATTCTTATTGCTAATACACCTATGGATACAGATAAAGTTAAAGTATTTGGTGCACGTGTACGTGTCGATACAGTTGCTAAAGTAGCTGAATTGGAATTAGCTGAAAAAGAAAAAATGAAAGATAAAGTTAATAAAATTCTTCAACATAATTGCAATGTATTTATTAATCGGTAAGAATAATAATTCAATAAAAGGTTTTTTCTGTATTTGAAATATTTTAGACAATTGATCTATGATTATCCTGAACAATTATTTGCTGAAAAGGGTGTCATGGCTATTGAACATGCTGATTTCGAAGGTGTTGAACGTTTAGCTCAAGTTCTTGGTAAATAGAAAAGAATGTTTAGTTTGTTTTTATTAAATTCTTTCGTTTAGGTGGAGATATTGTTTCAACATTCGATACACCAGATAAAGTACGTTTAGGAAAATGTGACTTGATTGAAGAGATTATTATTGGTGAAGACAAACTCATCAAATTCTCAGGTTAGTTTATTTTATTTCATACAAGAAGAAATTTATTAAATCCTTTTTTTTATTAAATATAGGTGTATCTCAAGGTCAAGCATGTACAATTATCTTACGTGGAGCTACCCAACAAATTCTCGATGAAGCTGAACGATCAATTCATGATGCTCTCTGTGTTTTATCACAAACAGTTCGAGAACCACGCATTTGTTATGGAGGAGGTGCCGCTGAAATGATGATGGCTACTGCTGTTTCTCAATTAGCCGAAAAAACACCTGGTAAAGAATCCGTTGCTATTGAATCATTTGCTCGTGCACTTCGACAAGTAATTAAAAACAAATTTTTTGAATTTTTTTTTATAAAAAATTCTGTTTAGTTACCAACAATTATTGCTGACAATGCAGGTTATGATAGTGCTGAATTAGTTGCTAACCTTCGTGCTGCTCATACAGCAGGAAAATCAACATATGGTCTTGGTAAGAATATTTTCTAATCGATGATGGGTTCTTTTTTCGCTATAGTACATTTTTTTGTTAGATATGGACAAAGGTGTCACTGCCGATATGGTTGATCTTGGCATTGTTGAATCCTATCATCTTAAACGTCAAGTTGTTAGTAGTGCAGCTGAAGCAGCTGAAATGGTATTACGTATTGATAATATTATTCGAGCACCACCCCGTCAACGCCAACGTGACATGCGTAATCATTAAATAATTTCAAAAAAATATATAAGAAAAATTCATTAGAGCACTTCGAACATTTTTTGTTTGGTTTTTTTTTATATCATTTCTTAGAAAACTTTTTTTCATCTAATACCGACATGAATTACAGTGTGAGAAAGCGAGAATGTTTGAAAAACCCTTTGTCGTGTCAGTGTGATTGTTACGTTGTTTGACTCTTGTTGATGTTTTTCTTGTTATTAAAAACGCAAAAGAAAATTTAACCAAATCAAAAATTATTTGTCATTGAAATATGGAAAGAAAAGAAGATAATTTTTACATCGATTCCCATGTAGGCGATTTATCACGCTTATCAACAGGGAAATTATAAAAGCTAAATGTTATATATATATATAGGACAATTATTTTAGGTACACTAGTATTTCTGATTTTATTATACAATTACAAGTAAGACTAACAAAATAATTTGAATTCTACGATCTCATTGGAATCATAAATATGTCTGTGTAAGCTCTTAAATTTTCTACTCTCTAGCCGAGACTGCTACTTACCTATATTTCTAATCGAATAGAATTTGAAGATAAAAACTTTCAATCGATTAAATAGTTCGTTTCCTCTAGTGGTTCACTTTTTCTTAAATGATTTGCCATGAGCGTTTTTCTTCCATTACACTTGATATACTTTCAGTTCAATAAAATAACAAATACACTATACGTTCACGTACTATTTTTAGACATCTATTATTGAGTTCAATATGTTTCTCATTTAGAAAATGAAAATCTGGTTTTCATCATTTGATGATCGTAATGTTTATATCAATGTATGGTTCATGTAGTATTAACAATTATTACTAATTACGTACTTCCTGAAGGAAAATAATAGCTATAATCACTTCCCTTTGTTTTATTTTTCCTATGAGTATGTAAATTTTATGACAACACATTATAAGATATATTGTTTGATTTATGAGAATTATTATCTCTTTTTTGACAATTAAAAGTACAAATTTATGGTTATGAAAATGAATATTCTATTTTTCATCGTTTATTATAATCTATTGTTGAGATAAACACAAAAAGTACTTTATTAATCATAATCGTGCCCCTGTTCATCTGCCAACGTAAAATGCATCACAGAACAGTTAACACAAAAACAAAACAAGTACTCTACTGATTAGTTCCTATATTAGATAGATTTTTTTTCTATGTCTCTGAGCTATACTTCCATTTAATGCATTAGATAAAAAAATGTTTTAGTTATTTCTCTTATTAATAACTATATCGAGTAAATTTTTATACGATTTCTTCTATTTATTTGAAAGAAAATGACTATGATTTCAAACCTAAAATTAGATATTTTATTGAATTGTAACATTTTGAAATAAATAATTTATCATATTCATTTATATTTTAGATAATAATCATGTAATATTATTTATTTATACGTGTACGAGATCTGATCAATATAAATAAAAAAAAATCTAGAATTATTCACATATCTCTAGAGAATTTTACCTTTTGTTTTTATTACTAACTTTAAACATTTTTTTTCCTTTTTCTGATCTTTCACCATAATAGAACTGACAACATCATTCAACAGTACAACGATTATGACGAAGTCTATTTCATCATTACTTATTATCCTTATCTTCTTTTTCCTAACAGCTATTTTTCAAGTAACTCCTAATTCACATTTTGTTCGACCATATCCTGAAGGTTTTCAATCACATTGGTTAACTAATTCTAATGATAATAAAGATGATTTTTTAAAACGATGGTTTGATCATAAACGAGTGATTGATTCAAATAAAAATCGTGCTGCTGCTGCATCATCATTATTCAATGTTCTACATCCCGTTATTCCATTTAAAGGTTAAATATGATGACTTTTCTTGAATCTATTGTTTATTTTTATTTAGGATGTATTGATCCATCGGAACCATTTCAATGTCCTCAAAGTCAACAATGTATTGCTCTTCAATTTATTTGTGATGGTCATCCAGGTGATTGTCCTGATAATCTTGATGAAAATGAAGAAACATGTATTGCAGCGAAACGTCCAGCAAAGGAAAATATTGAAAAATTTCTTCATGCTGCATATACATTACATGGTTCAAAATTATTTACATTTCTATTTGGCGAAAAACTTTCGAGAAGTATTGATGAAAATAAAATATTTTGGTTTGATACATTAGCATCAGCATTTTCTGGTAAGATTTCTTTCTTATTTTGTGCTAATAAAAGATAGTTATTATTTTTTAGTGTCGAAAAATATTCATAGTTTTGCTGAAAAAACATTTATGTCATCAGGTGATCTAGCACATTTTCGAAATATTTTTCAATTAATTCATGATGGTCGATTAGAAGATATTCCTTTATTTGCACAAGAAGCTGTTAATCAAGGTCTTGCAGCCTTGGTTGAAAAGCTCTATGACTCGGGTTTTATGGATTAATTAATAAAAATATAAAGAAAAAAAAGGATAAATTTTGTTCATATGATTTTTGGAAATTAATAAATAAATGAGAGCATTATGAACTTTCCATCTTTTAGAATTATCAATATGTCATTTAAAAAAAGTTCTCATAATTATATTACAGCTAAAACACTATATCAAAAATCCATTTAATTATTTTCATCATAATTAGTATATTTTTTGTCTCTATTCTGGGTTCTTTCTTTTTGTTTCTTCTTATCATATCTTGTTCTTTGTAAATCTCGATGATTTACTTCGACATTATAAGTTACTTTTAACAATTCAGCCAGTCGTTCAATAACAGCGACTGATCGATGTTGACCTTGTTCACATCCAACTGCTAGTTTTATTGAATTTTTCTTTTGATTATGAATGAAAATTGATAGTTGTTCTGTAATCATTTTTATTAAATCATCATATTCCACCAAATTTAATAATTCATTTTGTATTCGTTTATGTCGTCCATCGTATTGTTGATAGTTTTCAACATTAGTTGTTGGGAAATGACGTACTGAATATAATAAATCAATATTTTGTGGAACACCAAATGAATGACCAAATGAAATTAATTCAATAGTAATATCTTCAGCTTCAGTCATTAGTACCAAATTATATTTTTATAACGTTAGAACTGAATTAAACTTCAGTATACAAGGTCGATTTTATACCATGTTAAAAGAGGAAAAACAAAATTTCAGTAAGAATACAGTGTCGTCAGACGACAAACATGAGTCACGATTCTGATGTTTTTATCGTCATTACACGTGTTACAAAAATGACATACAATACAAATAGATGCTTTTTATAGTTCTATAAATCATATCTAGTAACATTCTTTAAAGATCACAAAAAAAGTTTGTTAACATCTTTGATAAATATTTTCACCTCGATATCGAAAGCACGATTTCAAGGTTGTCACAGTTATCCTAAAATGGAGTCGAATTGATATAGTTTCGAAGTACAAGTGACATTAATTTATCTAGCTGATTCATTAGGGTGGGTGTAAAGCGCTCAGCCACATTCACACTCACCCTTGATTTTAACAAAATATTCTTATTTGAAAAAACCTAGTTATAAAATAATATTATCTGCATTGATTTCCTTTTAATATTCAATGGAAAAACAAATAAATATACTTTAGAAAATAATCACACAACATTTATTCTAAATAAAATCATATTTTTTGACTAATAGATCAATATGTTTCGAATTACTCATCTTCATATTATCTACCTCTAGAAATAGAAATTCAATATGAAATTCTGAAGGTGTGAATGCAGTTTCTCTTAGCTTTCACCCACACTCATGTCCATCCACCCACAAGATAAATGACGGTAATATTATTGTTTGTTTTCTAATCTTCACAGCGTACAAGTCATTATGTCGTTATTTTAGTGTTCTGCACTCATCCATAATGCGCATCTTGCATATGAGTAATATAACTTGGAGTATAAACGAACCATGTGCGAATAAAAGGCGATGATAGCGCACATTTTGTTGACCAGTTAAAAAGGTGCATAGACAAATATAGATATACAATACACTCGGATTCAGAGAAGGTATGTAAAATTAGTGCTATTTGAACGTCAGTATGGTCACATTTTTGAAACAACAATCGATATTTTTTGTATTAGCTTGTGAGTTTCCGTCGAAAGAGTAAAAGTAATCGTTCTCATAATGAATTTCTTTTAAATGTATCTAGAGAATAACAAAAATAACATTCACATTATACTTTCTGATAAATGTAGAACTATATGAGACATATTGTAAAAGAATTCGAATTTTGCATAATTTCTTTCAACATTGTTTTATAAGAAGTAATATTTCATTGGATACATGGATTCTTGAAAAAAACAGACTTTAAATAATCTAATATCCATATCAAAGTTTGAAAAAATATACAAACTATTTTTTCCTGTAAGACAACATGTTGTTATGAGAGAATGGGATCTAAATGTATACACACAGTACTCAGAATGTACAAGAGCATAGATTCGTTTTTGTTTCATTTTTTAGAAGATAATAAATGGGTCAAAAATTCGTCACATGCTTTCGACCACCACCACCAATAGCAGCGGAACAGAAACTATCGGAACAAATGCCGCCACTATCATATGTAGAACAACAGGACTCCACTTCTGGTCCTTTGCTTTGTGACATGCCAGTCGAATTACTTCTTTACAACATCTCTCCATACCTAACATATATGGATCTTTGTCATCTCTCGCAAGTTAACAGACTTTTCCACAACCTTCTTGAATCAACAGACCACGATAACAAGGAGCTTTCAGCTCATTTATGGGCAAAATGTATCAAATCTGAAATGCTAGGTACGAGCACAATTTGAACTTGAAAATCTATGGAGTTTCTACCACTTTGGAGAAGTTGTTTATTATTTAGGAACAACGAAGATTGTTCAGCACATAAGTCGAGGTGTTTCTAAATGATGAAGTAGAAATTCCATGGATTTGTTTAGAGATCATTAAAGTGTAGGGGGAATGTTTCCGTTTCTCAATAAACATTACTATGGAGTGTCTTCCATTCCCAAAACGATAGAAACTGAAGACTTTATGGTTTATATTATGTGTCTCTGTAGAGATTTATATCAGCAAAGACATTAGCGTGATATATATCGGATCTTGCACAAACAATAGAGTTACCGAAAACCATCTGGAATGCAATGAAACGGCAACGATTCGTATTTTTGAAAGTAGGTTTAATGCAACACTGCATATAGTAAAATAACTCCAAACTGCTATTTAGGTGAACATTTGTCTGAAATCAAAGAGAAAATTTTTCTTGCCTTCGGTGGCAACCAAATACATCCGGAACTGTGGCCTGATAATCAAGAGCTGGGTTTGCAAGGTCAATCGTCATTGTGGATCGAAGAGAATGATAGACTGCCAAAGTATCAATATCTAATGAATTTTGAAAAGAAGTTCACTCTGGCAGTGCGTCCACATTTGTAACCACCCTTTCAAGGAACACCCGCCACTGTAGCTTACTATGAAAAGCAATATCGTACTTTATTAGAAGCCGCTGCTAACTACCAGAAAAGTAAGCTAAACTGTTTTTTTGTTTTCAAAATTGACTATACAACTGAGTATATTATTGGTGATTTTTTCTTTTCTAGATCATAACCAGTCAGCTGCTGATGTGTCTGGGGATCAGACAGAGATCTTCGAAAGTATGAGGGCAAAATTTCAATCTCTATATATGAAACGAAAACAAGAAGCAGATCCGTGGACAAACATTCTAAGTAGGCGATATGGTGGGCATACTGGCTTCTCGAGAATCGAATACGATTGGGAGCTCTACAGTCGATACATTACAATGTATCCAATGAGTTTTGTCAGAAAAGAGCACGAAAAGGATAGGCTGTGTAAGTATTGTCAGGGTTCAAAAAGAGTCGGTGCTTCGCTGTTAACTTCTGCCAAAAATTAGTTTTCATTGACAACAAAAGAGTTTTCTCTCAAATTTCCCAGGTGTTTACTATCAACGTGGTCTGCTGAACTCAACTGCTGAAATGGACGACCACAGTCGCTATCTGGTTACAGATCTCGACGGACCTCTGGTGGATCCAAATTACAATGAAAACTGGCTCTGCTACTATCAAGGTCTAATCAAATGTCTAAAATGTGACCAGAAACTTTTCCTTACGCCGCCATTGAATGAGCAGCAACCAAAGCCATACACATGGTATATTAGCTATTCACAGAAGGGATCGCGTTTGAGTGGCGACAGACGTGGTCATCGAATGGAATATATTGAAGTCTATTGTCCTACGTGTGAACGGTATTCTCTTTGGAGATGCAAGGGACAATTACAGAAATGGTTTCCGGCACTAGGTGGAACTTCGACGACTAGACCAATATGAAGAATAGATCTAGTCCACCGGAGATTGTTTTAAGCGAGAGAGATTTACACAAAATAAAGAAATCTTCTGAAAATATCATGGTTGTTCTATAAACTATAGATTATCGTGATTTACTAAATATTGTTTGGGTGAGAGTGTGAGAGCTGTTATTATAATCTACATTTTCACTCTGCGCTACGAAGATTAACAGATGGCTTTATAGAATCATTCTTCATCGAAAAGTAAAACAAAATTGTAGATTTAACAATTTAAAAATAATCGAGGACAGGCTCAGCTATCTCTTGCAGAAAGAACAAGTTCAGTCTGCTACTCGGGTGTGGGTGTGAGTAGACAGGGTGTGCAAAGTGAAAAGACTCACACCCTCCAAAACTATGACAAAGGGTTCCAAATTTTGAACTGCGACCAGCCATCATTCTATCAAGTTTGAAAAAAAAAGAAAATTATATATAGATTTCAATTCTCAAAAAGAGAATATTTATTTTGTATTGATGTTGACAAAAAAGACAATACAAAAAACTTCTTCTTGTTTGTTGATTCCTGACAACTTTAATTGACTGTGTCGAGCACTAGTTGTTGTTTGATCAACATCATTGTACTAATTTAACTTGCACATTTTCCTGATTGAATTCTTGATAAACCCAAGTAGGATCGAAATTTTTTGGGGCATTGATTTTCTAGAACGAAAAACATGGTATTAGATTTGCTGCAAATCTAAATTACAAGCTTACCCATTCATATCGAAGTACAGCGCTTTTTCAAACAACCCAGGAAATTCTTTTCCGTTGCTTCGCTAAAAATACACAAGTTATGATTAATTACAAATCTAATTAAATACATACAAATAAAAATTCAATACTATCAGTACGGAATGTCAAACCGCATTGAACTTGAACATGCGTGTTTGAATAATCGATATTTAATACATTGTTGACTATTTGATTCCATGGAACACTGTAATTTTTTTTAAATTCTATTATTTGGAAAATCGATCTCGAATAAGCTGAAGCATATCATAAGTTTATGATTCATTCATTCAATATATCGAAATTCAAAAATGCTTGATTTTCCCATTTCTAGAAATTAAAAGTGATTTTCGAAAAGATTAATTTTTTTAAAAGTAAAATCATACGTGATTGTGAATGAGTTTCGAAAATCAACTTCGATTTAGAAAAATGTTTCATTTCTGAATTTAATGAAACAAAAATCTTTTATCTCAACGAATTATTTTTTTTACTTCAATCATCTAGTCGTTTTCATAAACAGCAAGTTTTTATTTCGAATATTTTTTTTTCTTTCTTAGGCCATCTGATCGTTTCAAGGAACATTACCTTTTTATGTAAACTAATTATTGTGTACACAAAAAGTGAGTACACTACTAGAATCGGTCAGTGTGTCCATCTGGCTGTCCGTCTGTCCGTCCGTTTACACCATAACTCCGGAATGCCTAATCCGATTGTCATGAAATTTTGTGCACTATTTAATCTTATCAAGATCTCGGTCGAGTTCGAAGATGAGCCTAATTGGCTGGGCCATTCCAGAGTTATTGCAAAAATACTGATACTTCCCTATGATTTTTTTATATTTTTTTTAGGAAAAATAATATAGTACCGTTTTCGTAAGAAACTTTTCTCTCACAGACGAATAAAACCCCGTGTGTTATCTATCATTCGATAGAGAATTTCATGGACTATAAAATGGTACTAAATTATAGGGGCAAATAGGTTGCACACGAGATTGTCTCTGTATAACAGGGTCGGTAAACTATAGATAACTCATATATGTTGACAATGTGTCAGTGCGGCATTTGTTTGTTTTTCGTATTACCAATAGCACTTTTTTTAGAGTTCACGATGGATTGATTTTGATCAATCTGTCTAAACTAATTCGTCCTTGAGCGTGGTAAGGAACTGCCCCTTAGTCCCCGCGGATGCCCTTTTTTTAGTGTGCTCAAAAAGTGAGTACATTACTAGAATTGATCAGTGTGTTCGGCCAGCCGTTTACACGATACCTTCCGAAAGGAGAGTCAGATATTGATGAAATTTTCTACACAGTTCAGACTCATAAAGAGCTCGGTCGAGTTCGAAGTTGAGCCTAGTTGTACGAGGCATTCCCGAATTATTACAAAAACAATGATATTTCCCTATGATTTCGATATACACTTTTCGCAGTACACATAACTCTCGGATACAATCCGAAGTTTCCACATTTATTTACGGATAATTTTTGAAAACATTATAAGTAGTATTTCTCATTTATTATGAATGCAAGTATATTGATCATCTACTATAAACATTAGTAAGTTGTATTAACCTTTAAGGGAGGGCGTGGGTGTAAATATCCGTCTTAGTCATTCATATCCACACCCTCGAACGAGAACTGTTCAGACAGTTCCAGCTCTATGAGCTGAGACGGAACTGCCACATGTCTATTAAAAGTAAAGAACCGAAAAATCTTTATGAATGTTTGTGTATTACTTATCGAATTATTTTGTGGTTGTTTATGAACTAGTTTTTATCTAAAATGTACAAGGAAAACGATTTATCAAATAGTGCAAGACTTCAAAACAATGATGCATCATCTTCAATTGCTTATAACATAAATTGAAGCATTTATTCATTTAAATTGCTATAAGTAAAAAAAATATTTCTTTTGAGAGTGAGCTCGTCTTAATTAAGCAGGTAAGTATTCACAACAACTACCACAACGCATTGCATCTTAGTTTAACACATTTAAGGCGATGAGAGTCACCCATGGGTTTCACTGTATTTAATAAGTACCTCCTTAGACGAACACACAGTTTTCCATTTATCTCAGTTGAGGAACTACATACCACATTTCTTATGTACTATCTTTGTTTTTTCAATCTTTTATTTATAAATTATTTCATACAAAAATTCTTTCGTAATTCTGTTACATCTTAGTTATACTTATCGACACTGAGTCATGCTTTTATCTTCTCTGTTGGTAATTTCATGTGCAACATCGGCGTATTTATTTATCGTCTGCATTCTCTTCTACCTTACCAATTTTTCTTCAACATACTATAATTCTAAAAGATTCAATACATGGCAACAGTGACTGGTAGAGCTCGATGTGTTACATGCAACCAAGAAAGAAGTGCAGTTAGATGTGAAGGCTGTTCACAAATATTTTGTTATGATCATTTAACAGATCATCGTCAGGAATTAAGTGTGCAATTTGATGAAATTGAAAGGAATCGTGATTTGTTTCGAGATACACTTAATAAGCAAATAAATGATTCACAAAACCATTTTCTGATAAGACAAATTGATAAATGGGAAGCAGATTCAATTCAAATTATTCAACAAACAGCAACAGAATATAAACAAATGTTATTTCAACATACAAATAAATATTTTAATCAAATAGAAATCAATTTAACAAAATTAACTGATCAATTAAAACGACTTCGTAAAGAAAATGATTTGAATGAAATTGATTTAAATTATCTTAAAGAGAAAATTATTGAACTAGAAAAGGAACTTGATCAACCACCTAATGTTTCAATTCAACAAAATTCTGCATCACTTATAAACAGAATATCTGTCGCTGTATCTCCTAGTAAGTGCTTTTATTATTTTTTATTAATAATTTCAGAAGAGTCTGCCAGGACTTATTAGAATCTATCAGAATATCGGAGTCTGTCAGGATTTCTCAAGATCCACCATGGTCTATCAGTCCTAATAGAGTGTGTCCGTGTCTACTAGGATTTATAAAGAACTACCAACGTCTTATACCAGGGTGTATCAAAGCCTAATATGATTTATGGGAACATATCAAAAACTAACAATATTTATCAGGACCTGTCAGACCTCACCATAGTATATCATTCCCTATATGACTCTTCAGGAAACCACTTGAATGAGAATGTGGATGGAACAACACACACACACACATCAGCTAGAATCACAGTAGGCTCTAGTAGACACTATGACAGACGTTGTTAGAGGTTAATAGACTTTGATGAGCGTTAACAGAATTTTTACAATCATAGATTGATACATTTATTTATTTATAATAGTTTCGAACGATGTGGAAAAACTTAAAGGCACATGGGAATACGTCGGTGGTGAATCCTTTGATGATTACATGAAAGAACTTGGTGTTAATTTTGTTGAGCGTCAATCATATAAATTGGTCACACCAAGAATAGTCATCCGCGAAAATGGAGGTAAATGGTTATTTAAAAGTGAATCAACATTCACAACGACACAATATGAATTCACACCTGGTGTAGAATTTGATGAAACACGTCTCGATGGTGGACGTGTTAAATCTATAATCAAATTCGAAAATGATAAATGGATACATACAAGGCGTGGTAAGAATGGTAAAGAAACAACGCTTGTGCGTTGGGTTGATACTCAAGGACAACAACGGATTGTTATGCAAGCCGGTGCTGTTGAAGCTCGTCGCTGGTATAAACGAATTCATTAGATGTTTCAAAACCTATATGACAATCAAGACAAAGAATTGTGTAGCGCCAAAAGAAATGTAGAGTAATGAATCTCTTGAGTGTTTGTAAAACTACAATATATAGTAAACCCTGCAAGAATTTATTATCATACGTTTTGTTTATAGTGTACAATTCTTTTTTTTCCGTTGATAAAAATTGATTTTAATGTGTCAACTCGATTACTAATAATGCGTGTACTGATTATTTGTTAACAAATTTTTATTGCAATGCATATAAAATTTTGAATTTCCTAAAAACCATCGTTGTTTGATTATCTGTCTGTATCAAGGGGGAAAAGGCGATACTCCATTACTCCACTCGAGGGTGTGGGACGTTTTGCTCTAAACACTCGCACCCACACCCACACCCACATCCACCCACCCTCAAGATATCGACGTAGAAATAGTGACAAACAAAGTGAATAGTCCAAGTTGGTAAAACTCTATGTTTTCTTTTCAGTTGATAATAATATTATTCATCATGAAAGGGTTTCTTCTCTGCTTGTAAAAGATAAGAACAAACCTTCATATACACGTCCGAGATAATGTTACACTATATAGAAAGAAACTTAAAAAATCTGCATTCTCTCATTGTGTTCCGCAATAACAGATAGTGCTTTTCTTTATCCATGAAACTTGCAAAAAAGAGTCAAACTTTCATAGTTCTTGTTACAAAATTCAATCGGGATAAATAAGCTAGTGACGTCTAGAGCTCAGATTGCGATTCGTATTTCAACTATTACTTTTGTAAGAAAGTGGCCTTAGATTACACTTGCAACGAATTTCAATTCCAGTTTCACTTAGGACTAAGCGATGCGAAATCAGGTTGGCGAGGGTGTGAACGTGGGTGCGAAAGATAGACACCACATCCACACCCACACCCTAGTGTGAGTATGCGTCTTTGTTATCTTATCTTGGTTTCACTCACACCCACATCCTTTTTATACTGTGACACTTAACGAAAATAAGATTTCCTTATTGTCAAGTAGAGTGTGGATTTGTATATCATAATCATCTCTCACATCTACTCTCACGACAAATATGACACGAAAGAACAGACATTTCGAACTTTTATGATTTTATTCAAAGCCCGATTAAGATGAAGAAAAAATGTTAATTAATGTAGTTGAAATATTTCTTTTTGCTGTTGTTTACTCCATCCGTTTATAAGATTGGAAATAAATTGTTATTGTGTATTTTCATGGCACAAAAACCATTTTCACAAGCCCAATAACAACGTGGATTTATACCACAATTGCCACTGCACTGAGAATCATTTTGACATGTTTTGCCAAAACTCATCATTCTAAATAATTCAAAATTACAGCTTGCACCATTTTATTTCATCAACTCTACTTACTCAACTGCTTGTACTAACAACAGTGTTAATAGGATGAATACGAGAAAATAACGCATGTTACACGAAGTTTAAGATTTATATATCTGAAATAAAAATATAGCAGGGTAGAGGCCAAAACAAAATATGAGAAGAGATAAAGGCTTGCGATTTACCTTTCTCACTGTATGTATGGCATATATATATAATAAAAATCATATATTTAATACTGACATTCCTTTTCATCACGAGCTTTTATTCATCGTAGCTAACTACATGTGAATGAATAGCATGAAAAAACGGATTAATATTAAGAGTTAAAAAGAAAGGAACTGCATGTTTTATATAAATATGTCTAATCGTAAAGCAAAAGATAAAATGAAAAAAAAAATAATCATATTTAATTTGTTTTTTTTTGTGCTTGAAGAATCAGTAAAAAAACCTTGTTTCATCTAAATATATGTGAATCAAACCATATGCTTTCAATTTTCTCTGTTTTTGCAGCAAAATGTAAGATAAAATCTGATGTAAATGTGTTGAATGAGAGGCGTAGTTTATCTGCTCATATCTATAGGTACATATCTCGCCCTCTACTCTCCATCATTTTCACATCTGCTCTATCGCCTACGATCACTTTTTGAGTAGAATATTACTTTGCATTTCTTTAAACAACTATAGTCCAATGTGATTCAAACTATTTCTCTTTGTTAACTTGTATTCATGGGGAGGATGGGTGTGAATGAGGGCACTGTTTTTATTCCACACCCACACTCTCACACACTTTTAACATAGTTATTTAAATAAATCGAAATCACATTAAATCTTTATATTAGGAACAACAAATATAGAAGGGCAATCTATGATGGAAAATGTTTACTTAAGAAATTTTCTATATATTTAAATTAACAGCATCGGATATTATTTGAATTATCGATACATAATTACAATCTTTAATATCATTATTAATTGTTGATTTTAACAAAATATTCATATTTTGAAAAAGATTCATTTATAAAATAAATATTTAAATATTATTTACAATGATTTCCTTTTAATATTCAATGCAAAAATAAATAGAAATACTTTAAAAAATAATCATACAACATTTATTCTAAATAACATCATATATTTTGACTAATAGATCAATATGTTTTGAATTCATCATCTTCATATTATCTACCTCTAGAAATAGAAATTCAATATGAAATTCTGAGGGTATGAGTGCATTTCTTCTTAGCCTTCATCCATCCACCCACAAGATAAATGACGATAATATTATTGTTTGTTTTCTTATCTTTACAGCGTGCAAGTAATTATGTCGTTATTTTAGGGTTCTCCACTCATCCATAATGCGCATCTTGCACATGAGTAATATGAATCGGAGTATCAACGAACCATGTGCGAATAAAAGACTACGATAGCACATTTTTTGTTGATCAGTTAAAAAGGTGGATAGATAAATAGATATACAATACATTCAGATTCAGAGAAGGTATGTAAAATTAGTGCTATTTGAACGTCAGTATGATCACATTTTTGAAACAACAATCGATGTTTTTTGTATTAGCTTGTGAGTTTTTGTTGAAAGAGGGTGTGCGTGTGGGTGTGGGTGAGAACGGTATCCTTTTGGTTTAAACTCACACCCACATCCACATCCACACCCACACCCACACCCACACCCACACCCACACCCACACCCACA